TATTTCTATATATTGGCAATATAAGTTTTTATATATATGACTTTTATGACTCATATCTGATTCATCAGTATAAACTCAGCAAAAGGTTTAAAGACCATGATTTTATGGTGTTTTTATTCACCAACAATAACCTGAACCCGATGCCAAAGTAAATGAAATATTGTGGATTGCCACATCCTTGTACAAACATCAGTAACCAGGTCAGGATTTATTTGATCCTGAAGTATTAAGACTCATCGCACCTCTCTAAAACACTCAGTTTGAAACCCTTGTTTGATCTGGCTTTGCAGCCTCATGGAAATGTGTTGTTCTTTCCAGCCACGTCTTTTTTGATTGGCTGTCATAAATCACTGTCCAGTTTAGAAAGACATTTTGTTGAAGCTTTGTTTTGATTTTCTGCAGACTTCTTTTGTGTTGGCACTGATTTTTCTTTTGTTTTGGAAAAACAATAAAATTTCATGTCGGATCAAGTCAAATTTGTTTCAATCTCCAGGTGCTCAACTCAGGAAATCAAACCAGTAAAACCAGCTACGAGGCTCTTAACTGCTAGAAAATCCAATGTGGAACAGGTTAGACGGCCTAAGTGGAATTACAAATGGTGATGTGGTAAAATTGTCTCAAATTACTCTAAAGGCTGTAAAAACTCAGCAAATAGGGAATGACGTCATCATTTTCCTGTAAGAGAGAAAAGCTTTCTGAGATAATGTGCATTAATGAGTGTGTTCCAGGCCTCTATAACTGATTATTGTTTTTATCTTAACCATCACCGGCTACAGATAAAGCAAATTTATCAAATATGAAGAGCAAAAGCAGAGTTTATGTCTATACAGTGATCATATGTGCACTAAATGGCACTGTTCAGTATCATTAAACATTTAGCTTGTTTTTCTTTTGTGTTCGAAAGTGGGATTTCTTCGGCTAAAAAGTCCAAAAGGTGCACTCTAAGCTATAGTTTTGCATCCTTATCTTGTTTTCCAATTTTCATGAGTTACCAAAGGAATATCTTTGGTTAGCCATCTTTAAGATACCAGCTTTATGTTAGCTTCTCCATGTTAACAAACAGCTAAAACACGCAATTATGCACAATATGTAAATAATAGTACAAAATGCAAAGCTAAATTATGTCAATTATGGCTTTTTTTTTTGCTTATGACAACATTCTCTGTTTAAATAAACTACTGAGAGTCTTTTTCCCTTATCAAATGGGCTCAGAGTTGAATGTCAATGTCACATGAAACTTATATCTACCATTAAACATTTTATTCCAGTGACTTGTAGTGGAGGTATATAAATGAGCCCATTCTACCCTCTGCTGGTCTGAGCAGCACTTTACAATGTCTGCAGCCCCCTCCAGAGTGTGTGCATGGGTGTATTAATTCTAACAGAATAAATTAAATCTCCTGCATAAATACTAATTTAATACATTTAAAAGCTGCACATAAACTTTGTCTACGATTTAATTAGTTTAACTGAGCATGGAAAGATAATTATCTGACCAATAATGCACTGTAGATTCTGTGTCCTGATCATGGAATAAATCCTTTTAGTCATGTATGAAAGCAAACTTCTTATGGTATTATAATTAAAAGCATTTATTAGGAAAACGATGAGCTATGTACATGTAAACCAGAATTTGGCCCAATAGCTGTGGATCGTCTTTTGCTTAAATCATGTGTCCTTTTTGTTGTGGCCTTAACTTTTTCTGGAATACTTTTTTCCCTCATTCATCTTTATTTAAAGAAGTTAAATTACTTTCTACTTACATCAGGAAGTGTCCTTGTTCGGTCTTTTGAAGGTTTTGGTTCTGAACGGTTCAAGATTAGATAATTAATGGTTATATAAGATGCTTGTTGTGGTGGTTATTAGGATATCTAAAGGGAAATTATTCAAATGACTCCAGAACACCATAATAAAGATATGTTCACAGATACACTTTATTTATGTTCACACTTTATTTATGTTCAGACATTTTTAATGATTAATGTCTGCTCATAACAGCTGTGTAGATTAACATAAAGACAATACAAAAGATTAATTTAAAGAAATTAAAATAGGAAAAAACAGGTAAATAATATCTATTAATGAAAACAATTACATATATGTTTAATTGCAGAAAAGTTAAAAAACATGTTAACAATGTGCTTTGCAAAGCTGCAGATAAACATATAACTTTATACAAACTGGGATCAACATTAAACAATTGAGTTTGCAAACAGCCTAAATAAATGTCCAACTTTTAGGAAGTTTGATTAAAAAAAAAAGTTATTTCTATCAACTTGTAGGACATGTCTTAACTGATTTTGAGGACCCTGTATGCAAAAAAAAGAGTTTCTGTAATAATTAAGACCACAACATTTGGTCAAATTACTTTTACCCCACATGCAGCTTTTTCAGAACAAGTTGAAGTCATTTTAAAATGAATTTTATTGGCTCTTATTGTCGTTACATACCCGTTAACTCAGTAAAAGTATGTATTTTAAAAAGTGAATGCTTAAAATCAGCTTGTAACAGTATTTGGTTAATTTTCTTTTTAAGATTATCTTTAAAAAATAAGAATTAGTGTTAAACAATTCCAACTCCTTATAAGTTGAATTAAGGTGTTTATTCAATAAGCAGTATCAATTCTGTGGACAGCACATGAATAAACTACTTGTTGTCTGCAGGTGACTGTGTCTAGTTGATTGTCTGTCTTCTTTGTTTCTGTGTGGAACTGGATGAGAGAACCAATCCCAACTGGGTTTGGTGGGTTTGGGACACTCAGTCTTCGAGCTTTGACAGAGACACTGAGGACGGCACAAAAGTGGATTCAAACTCGAGGGATCGTCCGAAGCCAAACGCCGCGTAGAGAGGCT